CCCCCCCCCCCTGCTTAGCTGTACACACTGGCTCACCCACACCTGGAGACACAGAAAAGAACCCTTCCCTGGGAGAGAGAGGTGTCCTTTCACCTGAGCACAGATTGATATACCCCTATAGGGAAAGCCTGGACCTCTCTTCCCTGGGCCTGGGCTGGCGCTGGGGTCCAGCTGGGGGCATCCGAGAGCCGTGGGTCCTGCCCCGCCCCTGCACGGCCAGGTCGCCCCGCCCTGCCCCACGGGCCCCAACGCCCGGCCACTGCCCGCCGCCCGTCGGCCCTTCCGCCTCACTCAGCCGCGCCGTGGAGCCGGACGGGCACTGGCCATGGATCGGACAGCGGGCAAGGACCTCGCCCTGGTAAGGGGACCAGGGGTCCCGGACGCCACATCCCTGGCGATCCCAAGGTCCTGAAGCTCCAGGTCCTCGCCTTCCGGACCCTATCTCCTCTCAAATCGGACACTTGATTCCCAGCCCGGCCTCCCGGTCCCTGACCCAGTGAAGTGGCTGGTAACCTCTTAAGGATGGGGGCGTCTCCGAGCTCATCTGGGGGGGAGGGGGGAGAGGGGACAGGGACAGACTCCGTGAGCCTGGACCCTAGGACGTCCCCGAATGCCACTCCATCCTCTCAGGACCAGGGAGGAGGGTACCCGCGGCGCCGAGGGGACTTCCCTAGCCCGGGACGCCGCCCCGAGTTTCGCAGAGTCTGACCGGGAAGGGGGAGTGGTGCCGGGAGTCCTCGCCCCGGACTTAAGTCCTCGCGGGAGAGGGGGGACGAGGTCCCGGGCCCCCTCCCCCCGCGGCGCCCTCAGCCCGCCTCCGCGTCCAGGCGCCGCTGCAGGACTGGGGCGAGGAGACCGAGGAAGGAGCGGTGTTCAGCGTGTCCTTACGTCGGCAGCTCAGTCAGCGCTCGAGCCCGAGGGAAGGGCCTGGGCGCAGCCAGGTGAGGAAGGGGCCGGAGGGCGGAGCCGGGCCGGAGGCGACCAGGTGAGGGCGGGGCTGAGTGGAGGAGTCCGCAGGCAAAAAAGGTGAGGGCGAAGCCGAGGGGCGGGGCTGAGCCCCAGGGAGGGGCGGGGCCTAGAGGCAGACGTGGTCGCTGTAGAAAGGCGCCCCGGGGGGCGGCCTGGTGAATGGGGTCGAAGCGCGCGGCGGGCCGGTTGGCCGCGCGCTTCCGGAGCGGGGACCTGGGGACTAAACTGGACGGCAGGTCCGCCAGGCCTGGCCTAGGTCCGCCAGGCTTCGTGGGCGGCGCTGGAGGGAGGGGTCGTCGTTAGAGGCAGCCGGGTGAGAGCGGACCGGGGTGGAGGGCTGGGGCGGGAAAGACCAGACCAGCGAAGCGCGTCTGGAGAGCTGGGAGCCGCGCGGGGAGGGGTGGGGGCGAGTGAGTGAGGGCGCGGGGCGGGGCCCGGAGGACGACCTGGTCCCGGGCGAGTTGCGAGGGTCATTTGGGCCTGGAGCAGAATAATGAATCCAGGAGGCCGGATTCCGAGCAATGGGAGGGACCAGACGTAAGAGCGCTGCTTAGCGCTGGGCTTAATTGGAAAGGGGGGTGCTCCGGGCCACTCCTCTGTGTCCCTTTGCCTCCCCCCCCCCCCCCCCCCCGCCCTTGCTCCGCAGGCCTCCAGCCCCGCTGCGGACGCCTTCCTCCATTACCGCACGAGCAAGGTGCGGGCGCTGAGGGCCGCGAGGCTGGAGCGGCTGGTGGGGGAATTGGTGTCTGGAGACCACGAGCAGGACCCGGGCTTCGTGCCTGCCTTCCTGGCCACCCACAGGGCCTTTGTATCCACTGCCCGTGTGCTGGGCCTTCTCCTGCCACCACCGCCACCGCCCCTGCCTCCAGGGTCAGTACCCACGGGTAACCTCCGTGTTCTCACCCCCAGACTCTCCTTTGGGTGCTCGCTCCTGCATTCTTTCCCCCTAAGCTCCCCCTAGCCTCCCTCTTCTGATGGAGGATTGCTTTTCCCAGGACAGAGATCAAGGAGACAGAGGCAGGAGGTCTGCCCGTCAACAAGAACTTAAGGTTGGTCTCCCATAGGTGAGGGTAGGGGGTCCTAGAGGTCCAAGGTCGATCTGAGGTGTAGGGGCCCCCAAGATCCAGAGCTCTGGGCTGGGCTCTGAGGCCCTCCATTCTGGCCAGGGCTGTGGTGTCCGTGCTGGGCTCCTGGCTGCGGGATCACCCTCAGGATTTCCGGGCTCCCCCTGCCCACTCGGACCTAGGCAGCGTCTGCACCTTTCTGGGCTGGGCGGCCCCAGCAGGGCCCGAGGCCTGGGAGGCAGAGAAGCTACTGGGAGATTTCCTGGAAGAGGACGAGCGAAAGCAGGAAGACGAGGAGCAGCCTGAGGCGTGGACAGGTGAGGAGTATGGGGCACGATAGTGCCCTGAGCAGGACTTTTCCTCCACGACCCGTCCCCCAGGGGCCTTCTCCCCTCACAGAGCTGCTACAGATCTTGGGCAAAGTTCTTAACCCTGTCTGAGCCTTAGTTTCCCCACCTGTGAGATGGACCTTTTGTCTAACATATTAGCATCTGTCTAATCCTCAGCACAAAAAACACTCTTCCATTGGGTCAGGACGCCCTGTGTTTCTAGCTACAACTCCTCCCATTGCTACTTACCCTAGGAGCCACAGAGAGCCGGATTCAAATCCCAGTTCTGCCATCTGCTGACTGACCTTGACACTTCAGTCTCTGAGCCTCAGTTTCCTCATCTGTGAAAGGGGGGTGATAATAGTATTTGCCTGATTGACCTCTTTATTCATTCAATACATGCGTAGCTACTGGCTCTGGGAAATAACAGTGGACAGAGCTCCCAGTTCCCTAGGGAGGACAACAGTAAACAAGGATATAAGTAAACAGCGAGGGCTTGGCAAATCGTATTATCTTCATTATTGTTGTTATCACGGATTCTCGCTTATTGGAATCTACCACCTGTAACAAAAATACATAAAAAGTCATAGTGCGATTGCTATTTACTTGTAGAAGAGGCATCAGCAAGCTATCTGGTCCTTTACCGAGTTTGCCCACCCGTGTTGTAGAGAGCTTTGCGGGGGAGGGAAAACTATCTACCTACTTCATTCAGGTCTCCGTTCACTTCCTCAGACCTGCTTTCTCTGATCGTCTCCCAGCAAATATATCCCCCTACTCTGCGTCCTCGCCAGGCTTATTTTTCTGCAGAGCACTCATTGGCCTTGTCGCAGACTCTGTCCCCAGGGGCCGGAACAACCAAGATTTGTTGACTGAATAATTGCATCCTGCTTATAAAGTATCGTCTTTCACCCATCTGTGTTGGAACTGATCCCTATCACAAAAGCATCTAAATCCCTAACCCCCATCTTTTAATCCTCAGATTAAAGCGGCCACATTCCTCTCTGCTTTACAAAGTAGCAGCTATTTTTTTTCTCTCCCTGGTGACAAAGTCTCGGTTATTTATGTATATTTTATCCCTCCGTGTCTTCCCTCTTGGTTTTTTTTAAGTGTCTTTCTTCCTCTGCCTGCAGGATTTCGCCAGCTGATTTCAAGACATTAGAGCTAAATGGTCCAATGGGGTAGCTACCAGCCGCATGGGGTTATAGACACTGAACTTAAAATAAAAATGTCAGCGATTTGGTCACACTGGCCACATTTCTAGTGCTCATAGCCATAGTAGACAGCGCAGGTAGCAAAATGTCTCCACCACTGCAGACAATTCTATTGAAAGAACCGCCCTAAGCTGTGAGTTCTTGAAGTCAGAGGAGAAATGAACATTTATTGGACACCTACTGTGGGCCCTGCTCTGGGACACACTGCATTTTAACATCTTTCTGGGGGACATTACTTTTTAGTATGAAAAATTTCCGGCACACAGGAAAGTAGAGAGAATGATATAAAGAGCCCTCAGACACCCCTTGCTCATTTTTAACAATTAAGAATTTGACACAAAAATGTCTTTTCAGGATAACTTGAAAACAGATCCCATGCTGATGTCACTTCACTCGTAAATACT